TAAACTTGAGGACCTTGCCATCTTCATCCTTGATCGGGGAAATCGTGAGAAGGTTCCAGAAAGGTGTTCCATCCTTCTTGTAATTTAATAGCCTTCCACAGTAGATTTTCCCAGCTTCCAATGCTTCCTTTATCTTTGCCACGTCACTGGGATCAGTATCCGCACCCTGTAAAAATCGACTGCACCCCACCCCACAGTAATAATCGTTATAACAAATTTTTTCATCGTAGAATTTCTTTGAATCACTTATTTAATTTTAGTTCCCTAATTATAAAGAATATTCTTTTAAAATGTAAGAATTAAAACTAGTTTTACTTAAAATAATATTTTTGGTACGGAATCAATTATTTTAAGTAAGTGGTGTGCCTGCACAAATGTACTGTAAGATCATATATCGAGAAGAATTGCAGTGGAATTAAATTATCATGAAAAATAAGGTGCTTACCAGTTTCTCCCGATAACTTCCTTCGACGTATAACCCGTCATTTTAAAGAACCCGCCACTCGCATACAGGATCGGGTAATCGGGTTTGGTAGCATCCGAGACCACGAAAGTTTGTTGGAAAGCCGACAAAGCACCCATCACGTCCTCCGAAATTCTCGGAATCCCATCCAGGACGCCGATTCCGCCATCAGAGGAGGAGTCGCCGGAGGTTCTCGCGGAGTTCTGAGAGTTCTTCCTGGAAGACGAAGCAGTGGCGGCAAGTTTGGCAACGTTGGGTTCCTCGCCGCCGGAGTTCCTCACCGCCACGCCCTGCGGCTTGCCGGTCTCAGTGTCGGTTCGGAGCATCAATCCCCACTCCGCGGCCCTCTGCGCCGCCGTGTCGCATTCTGCGTCTGCTTGCGCCGCCGGATTAATGGCCATCCACGACGTGGCGGTGATTTCATTGCGCGGCTCCTCCGACTCCGTCCACGGTTTCCAAAGCGGTTGTGAGCGCACGCGCGAGTTCGTTGCAGTTGAAGTGTTTGGGTTGAACACTTCGAGTGAGCCACGTGGATCTCTCGGAAATGATGATCTCACTGAGGATATTTTCTTCGGCGATTTTTCTGACTGCTCCATCGCTACCCACCTAAGTCTCTCTCTCTTCCCACTTTGCTATATATATATATAGATAGATATATCCAAACTCTGCTACAAATTTTAAATTTGTTACTTGTATAATTTCATAATAATGTAGACACCAAATAAATCATTCCTTTTTTGCTTATTGTTTTGTTCTATAGGAAAACATTCTAAAATGAAGTTCTAAATTGGATTAAGACTTGAAAATATATGGGGAACAAGATACTGGGGTAGTCGTGTGTGTCAGTAATTGCAATGGTGACTTCGGATAGTGATGGTGTTGTGTAGTGTGATACATTGGGAATAGACTTGCAGGGCAGATAATTTCTTATGCGGGGTTTGTTTCGTCATTTCAAATGTTCATTCAAGTAATTTGTGTTCTTTGTGCAGTTGAAATCATTGCAAGGAATTTCTAGTACCCGCAAATTTTAAAGGGCAGTTTTGTCAGTGACAATGAGATCCTGTGTGAAGAGGGGCGTGGAATTTTCTGTAATTGGGACCTCAGTGTTGTTTTCTAATATTATGACAATAATAGCAGTTAACTGCTTCTGGCTAGGCCTTACAACACGTAAGGGAAACGAAATTAATGAAGCATATTATCTAGGATGAAAATTAATGATAGTATGAAAGTGAAATTCAAGATGCAAAGCAAGCATATATTTGGAACAATAATAGAAACTTCTCAGCAGCAGCAGCAGGAGAATTTGCAAAGTAATCTCACAGTTAAATAGTTTCTATAAACAGTTTTTGTTTTCGGAGTTTACTGGTTTTATACTACTGATGCCATTTAGAAATATCTGGTTGGACATGGCAGAGTGTATAATTAGCACAAGTTTGGCACCAGAAAACATATACCTCAAACCCAGTTCCGTGTTCTGCTTGACGGATCAGGAAGATCGAAAAAGTGAGCTGGTTATGTTCTGATCGATATGACGGACTATTCTGTTGTACTATGGTTAGAGTACACCTGGTTAAATGATGAGAGCTTGACTTTTGTAGAATAGCAACAGTGTATAGTTTGTATGAGTGAAAGAAAACACAGAAAAGAGGACCAAAATCATTGTGAAAAAAGGTTTGGCCACACAACCCAAGCACTGTTTCTCACATGGCTCCTACAACCCTCTTGACTTTGAAGTCCTGAGTAGTGGGTGTTTTGGATAATTTGTTGGTAGTGTTCTGTATCTCAGTCAGGCACGTTGGTTTTGCATGTTCTCCCGACCGCTTTGTTTGTAGGGAAAGACTTTGTGCGTGTGTGTCTGCGATGGTTAAATTATGGCAAAGGATAAAAACAAAAAGAGACAACCTAAAAATGAATGAATAAATATCTAGGAATACGTGGATATTGTGAAAATAATTAAGTATATGATTGACGAGAAGTGGTGTGCTTGGATCTTAACACCTTGCAACCCCACCCCACCCACCAAAATGACAGGCACGGAAAGTGGACACGTGATGCCATGTTGGTCGATGCTGGACGATGTACTTCACCACCACAAATTGTCATCAATAATCGAAAAAAGGAAATAATTTCCCTGTAAAGTAGATGGAAATGGAGATTTGACGTTTCCCTAATTCCTTCTTTGACGTGGTTGGCTACTCCATAATTAGTGACAAGAAGCGATTGAAGTAGTCCTGACCATCAAATTCATAAGGCCATAATTTAATCAGTTGGTAGCTGTGTCCTAATCATTCTGTGAGTTCAAGAAACAGAAATGCATGTCGTGGAAAGAAAAGTAGTAGTGATAGGTAGTTCGATATATATTTTCTTTTCTTCTTAGCTAGAATTTAGAGATCGCACCTAAATCTGTTGGCTATCATTGCACTTCCAAAACTATTTTGCATTTACAATTTGTTTGGTGGGTCTCTCGAGAAAACCCTCTGCTCACATGCAGATAAATAAATTAACAGATCAAAAACAAGAAAGTTTATTTTTTTCTATGTACTTGAAAAATTTAAGTTTAATTTGTTTCTATAAAAGAGTTCATTATAAAAAAAAAACAATTATTTAAATTTTGAATTTGAGTAATATCAATTCTATAAATATATAAATTGGACTTATATATATTCTATTTGTTTCTTTATATTATATCAATATAAAAGTTTACTATAAAAAGTAATTTTTGCAATGCCAACTTTGGTAGAATAATCTTATCAGGTTGGTCCCATTTAGGTGAGACTACAGCTACATACGTATATGTCCATTAAGGTTAAGAGGTTGTGTCCTTAGCATAGCAATAATCGCTTTCACCATTTACCATTCAGAATAATGGGTTCTCTTTGGGTTAATTGTGTCTGTTATATACCTATCCTTCACCATCATTTCACCCTGTACTTATTCTTCCTAATTCATCTAACTGAGAAGATGTTTACATTATCCCTTTTTTACGTGGTGGCCCCGTCACCCTGTAATATCAATGCCACCCTTGTTGACTCCAATAAATTGAAATATATATAGGTAAGAGATACCACCCACGTGGACCAAATATACGTACCAATAGGATCTAAGAGAAATTTATATTAGTTGTATTATAGAAAAATCATGCCTTTTTCATCAGTAATGTAGAAAAGACATATTATAACAAATAAAATGAATATATTATGACAGATATTTTGACATCATAATTCTAATATTCATAAAAAGTCTGTATATTTTATGACGAAACAAAACAATTTGAAGTATAGGTTCAAATTCAATTCAATCGAAAACTCATATATATTCAATTCATATTTCACTGAATTCTAATGCAAAAGAATCTCAACATCATTATATAACAGTCATTACATTCAACGTATCTTAACTAAAGTAAATTTAATATATATTGATTAAATTGCTTTGAAGTAACTTGTATAAGAAAAAACTACTTCCAGAACTTAAGATATGTTCAAGAAACTTGACATTAATTATGAAAATTTAATATATATGAGTATTTATATTCAAAAAATGGAAGCTTGAAATATTAAACCAAACACTTATCAATACATCTGTGGGGGTTAATGTTCATTTCTTCCTTTAAAAAGATAATTCTAAAATATTTTTAAAATATAATAAGTCATATGTGATAAATATGTAATATATATATATATATATATATGTATATAATTTTTTTTCCATCTGTCATGTAATATTTTTAAAACATTTACCTAACTGTTTTTTTATAATTTTATATAATGTTACTTACCATATTATACAATAAGTAATGTCTTTAAATGCTAAAATTATTGTTATATTATACTAATTATCATACACACTAAAGTTACATTTCATTATTATTTTACAACGAAAAAAATTCCAATAATGAATAAGTTCATGAACATATTAAATTATTAGTTTATAAAAGTATTATTTTTGTGTTTGTGCTTTAACAATTAAGTTACTTTTTCTATATAAAAAATAGACAAGCTATTTGATTTTATTCTTTTAATGTTTAGTTACTCAATTTAAACTCAATAAACCTCACTAGATGAAACTAATATAGGGGGAAATAATGATAAAGAACTTAACCAATAATGCAATTGTCAACTAAACATGCATTAAAATCGCATTCAACTTCGGTTCTTACCATAACAAATTTCACTTAGAAAGCACTAATTAAGATAAAATAGTAAGAATGATGCCTTGTTTATGTTTCTATGATCCGAACAATTCTGAGCTTGAAAGTCCTTCCCTCAACCACCTACAATCTGAAAGGAAATTGAAAATCTCATACTAACAAAATTATGTACTCTTCTTCCCATCAACGCATGCTCCAGACAAGCTCCAAAAGCATCTTCACGTGGTTGATCTTGATCACCATTGTTCTCTACACCCTTTATTCTTCCAACATCATCCTTTTCCACAATGATCAAGATGACTGCACCACTCCCACCACCAATTTAAAGGAAGCCACCAAAGAAAACTTTCAGATAAATACTCACAACGATAATTCCTCAGAAACCATGGATACCGATGAAGGCGATGAAAAGAAAAAACCATTAGTAGATAAACTACCAAGACCAAGAGAGGTTAATGATGGTGATGACGATGATGGTGGTGGTGGTGAAGTTGAAGCTGAAGTCGAAGCTCATGCAGAAGAAACAAAGAAAGAAGAGGATTATGGAAATAATTCTCCCGTGGTAGTTAGATTAACTCCGAAACAAATGTCTGGGAGACAAGAAACCGAGGTTAAACACATCGTTTTTGGGATAGCTGGTTCATCAAATCTATGGCACATCAGAAAAGAGTACATTAAGATATGGTGGAGGCCTAACAAAACAAGAGGAGTAGTGTGGCTAGATCAGAAAGTGAAAACTCAAAAAAATGAGGGCTTACCCAACATTCATATCTCTGGGGACACTTCAAAGTTTAGGTATACAAATCGTCAAGGACAAAGATCAGCTTTAAGGATATCAAGGGTGGTGACAGAGACATTGAAACTTGGGATGAAGGATGTGAGATGGTTCGTGATGGGCGATGATGACACCGTGTTTATGGTTGATAATGTGGTTAGAATTCTTTCTAAATACAACCATAATCACTTTTATTATATTGGAAGCTCATCCGAAAGTCATGTTCAGAACATGCATTTCTCATATGCCATGGCATATGGTGGTGGAGGATTTGCCATAAGCTACCCACTTGCCCAAGAATTAGCAAAGATGCAAGATCGTTGCATTCAACGATACCCTGCTTTGTATGGTAGTGATGATAGAATTCAAGCTTGCATGGCCGAGCTAGGTGTGCCTCTAACAAAGGAAGCTGGCTTTCATCAGGTAACGAATGATGTTGACACATATTTTAACATGTATATATTCCCATTATACCAAACACCATATAACAATATTCTTCTGGTTGTTATATCTATACACTCAATTAAATAAACGTCATAATTCTGATCATAATATTACTATGATTTATTTCATTTTGGTCGTGCAGTATGATGTGTATGGAGACCTGTTAGGGCTTTTAGGGGCACATCCAGTGGCACCACTTGTATCACTACACCACCTTGATGTAGTGCAACCGATATTCCCAAGGATGACAAGAGTATCAGCCTTAAAACACCTGATGAAATCAGTGAATGAGGACTCAGGCAGCATAATGCAACAATCAATATGTTATGACAGACATAATTATTGGTCAATATCTGTTTCGTGGGGGTATGTGGTTCAAATCCTAAGGGGAGTATTGTCCCCTAGAGAAATGGAGATGCCATCGAGAACCTTTCTGAACTGGTATAGAAGAGCCGATTACACTGCATATGCTTTCAACACAAGGCCTGTTGCCAGACACCCTTGTCAGAAACCCTTTGTTTACTACATGACCAACACTCATTTCGATTCCACCACAAAACAAGTTATTGGTGTTTATAATCATGACAAATCCAAACCCCCTTTCTGCCGATGGAGAATGAATTCACCAGAAAAAATAACCTCTGTTGTAGTAACGAAAAAACCAGATCCCTTACGCTGGAAAAAGGTACACATTCATAAATTTATATACAATTTAAACGTATATTTAAAGTTGGAATGGGTCTCTTTCAAATTTTAATACATTTTAACTCTCAAATTTAAAAAACAATACATATAGTACTTTTAATTCAATAAAATCAAGGGTTAAATATGTTTTTAGTCCCTAAACTATTGGTCGTTTCTGGTTTTCGTCCCTCTTTCAAAGTAAGGTATAATTTGTTCCTCATTCTTTTCGAAACGTTCGTTTTAGTCCTCATTTTGTTGACTAAATGAGGACCAAATTTTTAAACGGTGTTAGTTTTCGAAGACTAAAATGAACGTTTCGAAAACAATGAGGACCAAATTGTACCTTACTTTGAAAGAGGGACGAAAACCAGAAACGGCCAATAATTTATGGACTAAAAACATATTTAACCCTAAAATCAAATAATTGACTATATTTATTTTTTAAAATTTAAAAATATATTCACCGTATATTCACACATACACACTCACACGTGAAATCTTAAAGATCAATCCGAAAATAAAAAGATAAGAAAGCAAATTTGTATTATTTTAATAACTAATTAGATTTCCTTGTTTTGTAGTCACCAAGAAGGGATTGTTGTAGAATATTATCGCCACAGAAGAAAGCAACTACTCTATACTTATGGGTGGGCAGTTGTCAAGAGGGCGAAGTCACTGAATTGTAGCATGTGAACCCTTACAATGTTTTCTCTTTTCTCATTCTTATTTTTAATACACTTCAAGTTACACAAAAATAAATAAGTATAGAAGAAGATGATTAAACCTTAAAACATGTTTCTAATTTTTAGTCTTTAGTTACACCAAACTACCCAATTAACACTATAAAACTTTTGTCATCTTATGCATTGTTTTATTTATTTTTCTATATGTACATTATTATATGAAACATTTTAGCACTTTGTAGCTAAATGTAATATAGCATGTTCAGTATTCTTTTCAAATGTTAAAAGCACAATATTATAACTCTTCAATTTCAAATTGCTTGTATATTTACTTTTTACTTGCATTGTAATTATAAAAAATATTTAAATATTAACCTAAAATAGAATAACATGACATTTTATATTGTCTGTTAAAAAACAAAAATGAGCTTAATTATTTAAATCAAATAAGGCTATACATCATACTTTTGGATATTAAAATTCAAATTAGATTGTAACTTATAAATATAGAATAGGAGCATATCAAAAAGCAATACCATGAAAAAATACATTTTATTAAATTAGAAGTTATTTTCTTTTATAATCTCACCAAATTTATAAATACTTCAATTCAGATTTTAGACATTCATCTTGAAATTTCATATAATTCAAATTTCACACGTATGTATATTTAAAAGTCCATTCAACCCAAAAAGAAAAAAGAAATGCTATGAGTAATCCAAATTAATCTTTTAACCAATATATCGGCGTATTTAAATATAAACATATAACGCGTACTATCATTAAGTTTTTGGCACAATAAATAACATTTTAAAGTGAAACTGATAAAATTTGTAATATCCTAATTATATTCTTATTGATTATAAAATCCAATTCAATAGATACTAAATTTAAGGATGACAATATATTTGATCGAATGTCTATCCAATATTATATTTGTAATAAAAGAAATATATTAGTTACTCATATATTGGATTTCTGTTTAAAAATATATATGTGAGCATTTAAAAATCGTAAATATATATAAATGATTGTAGATATTCAAAAGAAAATATTTATAAATTTTTAAAACAAAATTATAAAAAAAATTAAAAATATAATATAATATAAATTAAAATTAAGTTTTAATTAAACTTAATTTAATAAAATATAAATTAATTTTAAAAACATCCAATAGTGAGATTGAATCTTGTTGAACTAAGAAGACCAATTTATCATAATTTGAACCGAGATTAAAAAAAATATTAAAAATAAATTATGTGTCATTATTTTATTGGTTTATATAATCACAAATTACGTAAGTAATTATAAAAAAATTGTTAAAAAATATTTTCCATACATAATACAAAAATTAATTGAAAAAGAAATAAATGTACAAAAAGTGTTGAAATCCATAGCGGAGGCTTAACCTATATTATTTTCTTTGGCCAAAATGGTTCCGATTCCCCTGACCCACCTTCGCAGACCATTGGTTCAAAAGACTCTTTCTCTCGTTGATCATTCATGGTTGACCGCATCTTTGTCACTATATATCTGTTGCACCTCTTTTTCTTATTTCTTTCGCATCTAATTTCCTATTCTCCTAAACCCTAAAGGCTTATGGTGGAGGCCACATACCTTTAACAAACATGTGGCTACAGAGCAGATTCCCTTGAAGACGGAGGACAAAAGTAAATTTAGAGAGAAAAAGAAGAGGGTTGTGACACAAAATTAAGGTCAAAGCAAAACTTTTACTTTTATAGTTAATGATTTAGAGGAAGATTAATAACACATTGATGGCAGTAATAAAGAGCCTAACTATCACTAACATGGTTAAAAGTAATTCAAGTAATTTTTTCACATACAACCACTGGTTAAAAAGTGCTACTCATCCCAGTTACTATTCATCACCGCTGTTTGTTTTCTGAAATGAATTAATACACACTCATACAAGGGTTAATAGCTTAAGGAAAAATATTAATACAGAGGCATCTATCTAAGCATGCTTATTTCATTTCACTAAGTAATAAAGATGAAAAGATCAAGTGCATTCGATTTTACATCTTTATATATGAAAATAAGAATAATAAATGATACACATGTAACAATAGAACATTCAGCTAACAGAAAATGATTAATTGTTAAAAATCTTGACTAGTGATAATATAATTGACTGCAAATTTTATCCTACAAACTAGTTTTGAATGATTGAATGAGGCTTAAAATCCAATTCCTAACACATTTTTATAGTCTAACCATAAACTATAATCCTATATCTGTTGAGCCTGCCCATTGCAATGACAGTACCTTGCATCTATAAAAGCATAAGATATAGAGTATGCAGATAATAATGGCCAATGAACTGAAGTTATCATTTAAGAGAAAAAAAGTGTATTAGTGTAGCAGAGGATAAATTCTAAGAGATGAATCAACTACAACTCTAGAAGAGGAATCCGTCCTGGTAGAAAAAAAGCCAGCTCAAATGTACAGCAGAGGAGCCAAAAGCAAATAACTTGTTATTTGATAGCTAAGCATTTTACAGTATGAATGTCAAAAGACGAGGCACTTTTCTAATCTGCAGAACTGTCTGTCCCGGAATCATTATTTCTATAAAAATGTTGATGTCCTTCACTTCGTGTTCTTGGAGAAGATAGACCTTTTATATAGCTTTCTGACTCCGAACCACTACTACTATTGCCATCACTGACAAGTAGTTTATGACCAACTTTGCACGGTCTTGGCTCAGAGCCATAGCCAGCTGCTCTACGATTTTGGCTTCTTGCTCTTGAGGAATAGTAACCATTTCTAGAGCTTTGAATTAGATGAACTTGGGGATCGTATTTCTGGGATTCAAGGTAATTTAGAGCTGTAACCACATCAGCTATGACAGGCCGCATACTAGGTTGTTCTTGAACACACATGGCAGCAATAGCAAGAACTTGGTACAAACCTCTTACTGGATACCGACCTTCAAGCAATGGGTCAACCATCTCACAGAATCTTTTTCTGTCTTTGAACAAAGGTTTTGCCTGTAATAAAACATATACAAAGCATTATAAGCTAGTGATTTTGGAAGACAATGCATTAACAACCTTAAAAACAAAAAGTTCTCTTCACCAACATCAATATTGACATTTTCTTATGTTAAGAACATGAGTTGAAAGTCCTACATCTGATAAAAATGAAAAATTGAATAGTATATAAGAAACATGTGCCATAAAACCTAACTCCCTTGGGAGGAGACGGTTAAGACAACTCATAACTCAAAGGTATCAATCTCTCCTATTTATCCCAGAAAAAAATATTCCAACAACATATTCAATCATCTTAAGGAAGCAACTTTAACCTATCTTAATCTGTATTTAGTAAGCACCTTCTTGCAAGAGATGGGCAAATCAAAGCTTCCAACTTTCTTATGGTGAAAATCTTAACTAGTATCAAAGTTTATTAAATGAATTATAAGTAGACGTGTAGCAACATTCTGAAGAAAGTGGGATGAAAGACCATATTGACATACCCATGCAACAAGATTTTGTTCTTTAGGAGGTTTCATGTGGTCAATGGCCTTTCTGCCTGTGATGATCTCCAAAAGAACAACTCCAAAGCTATAAATGTCAGACTTGAACGTCAATTGACCCGTCATTGCATAATCTGGTGCACAATACCCATATGTTCCCATAACTCTTGTTGAAACGTGGGTCTTATCACCACTTGGTCCTACTTTTGCCAACCCAAAATCTGATAACTTGGGATGATAATCCTCACCTAATAAAATATTGGAGCACTTCAAATCACGGTAGATGACAGGAGGCTTCATTTTATCATGCAAATACTCTAACCCTCTAGCTGCACCAGCTGCAATTTTTATTCTCGTGTTCCAATCAAGTGCTTTTCTGCTACGTGGAAGATCTGACAAAATCAACAAAATAACAAGTTATAAACCAAGGTCAGAGAAAATCTTCCCCACACATTTTGTTCTAGCTGAAGAAAATTAAGATAATAGGATAGAAAAATATATATCTATATACCCTGCAAACGCTTCTCCAAAGATCCCAATGGCATGTACTCATAAACCAATAGCCTCTGCTCTCCCTCAGCACAAAACCCAATTAACTTTACCAAATTAGGGTGATCTGCCAAACTCAATGTCAATACTTCAACAACAAATTCCCTAATTCCTTGATGCCCATAAGGGTCTAGTTGCTTTACTGCCACAACCTATGCAGACAAAAACAAACCTCAATATCACCAAACCTTTATTACCATATAAAACTCAGTCCAAATGATTTGCTGGTTTTTTTTATTGTTCTATTCTGTACTCTCAAAATATATTTAAAAAGTTTTAAATATATTTAAAAAGTTTTAAATATATTTTAAAACATAAAAAAATGAGTATCTATCAAATACTATGAAAGTAGAGTGATGTCATACAAAAGTTGCATAAACATTGTAAGACAATTTTGGTTGCGTACCTGATTTAATTTCTCTATGCACCCCTTATAAACCTTGCCAAACCCTCCTTCGCCCAGAAAGCAATCTGACCTAAATTTCCTTGTTGCAGCTGCAAGCTCGTCAAAAGTAAATGTCTGTGCTCGGTAACTTCTAACGTTTACCTCATCAGAAACCTCTTGTAAATTCAAATTCTTCACGTCCACAGATAGCTGATCAGGCTTTCGATGATGATTATCTTCACTTTTACCATTCACTTTCAAATTAATTTTGACAACTACGAAAAAATTGAGCGCACACGTGCATATACAAAATCAACATCACGTGAAGGTCAGAGATCAAACAAAATTATGCATAGATTCATCTAAGGATACCACAGATGATAAAAACCTATCGCTGTTAAAATTCAAAAAGGAAAGGTAAAACCAAATGATTGGATTATGATCGCACCATTCAATCAACAAACACAAAATTTAAAAAAAAAAAAACCACGTTTATGGTTCATGGAACGACGAACAATTAGAGAGTTTATATTTATATCATCCACATCTAAATCTCACTCTGAAATTTCAAGAAACCAACAAAGCAAATTTCAATATCAAACAAATCAAACAGAAACCAGTTTCAAATTCTTTCTTCCATACGTCGAAACCAAACAAGAATTTTTTTATTCTAGAATGAAAAAAAAAACACAAATATACAAAAGACAGACCCCGGATTAATTCACGACAAACCCAAGTCCAAATTTTATTTGTTTTTTGATTAACGAAAAATTAAAATGCGACGACAAATAACAGATGAACCTGTTCCTTAATGCATGAAAAGATTAACGTGTTGCAATCCGTTTGTAAAGTTTACCAGCAGCAATGTGCTTCTGGGTGCGATTAACGTTGTTGGATTTTTTGCTTGGTTTGCCTGTGCAACTAAAGCAACCCATGTTTTTTTTTCCGTTTTCCCTCCGTTCAAGGCTTGAACCAGACAAAGCCAAGAACGGAGTCCCTAAACATGAAAAAGGAGTATCACGAAGTGTGTATGAAAAAGAAAGAGAAAGAGAAAGAGGATCTTAACTTTGTGTTGTGGCCATTTTCTGGGTGCTTAAATATATATTTATATATATATTCTGGGTAGAACTATGTGAACACTACACGGGTTGTAGAAGAAAAATGAGAAAGTGTTACGGATTAAAAGAAGCCATGAGAAAAAATAAAGGGTATTTTCGTCCCTTAAAAGGTTTGCAAAAGATTGTAATCTCAAAGGCCTGTTTGGTACTTCAGTTTGGTTCACTATAAAAACATGACACCTTCTCTGCTCATCGGTGTTAACTGTTGACATATTTAGTATGAACATTTATTGTCTTGGTCAACATTCAACATGTGTGTCTGGCCCTTACAACTTCCCAATTTCTAACTATTTTCATCTCAATCTACTTTTAACTATCAAATAAATTATTTATAGACATTCTCCTTATATTTATTATGATTTTTAAATATAATTATTATTAAATGTAAAACCTATCTTTCTAACAGATGTAACATTTTTTATTGGAAAAATGTGATCTCATAATAATAATAATAACAATACTACTATTATTATTATTATTATTATTATGTATATCTATGTATAAAGAATTCTTATTTGTTTTTAATTTTATTATTTAAATAATTTCTTTTAAAATTAAAATAATTATTTTATTAATATTATATTTTAAATTATCATTTATTTATATTTAACTGTTTTTTAATTTGACTATTTTTTTAACTTAACCATTTTTTAATTAAGACTTTATCTATAAAATACATAAAAATTACTTACAATAAAATTATAAATTTATATTTAATTTTATAATATAATAATAACAATAAGATTAAACTTACTATTTTTTATTATAAAAAATAACAGACATAAAAATAAAAATAAACACGTGTGCTTTGGATGTGTTTTCGATTGTTACAACACAAAAACTATCTCCTTTCTCCTTTTCTTTTCCACTAAACGATTTAACTCCACCGTTGCTAATGTATTGAGTCGGAGATTGGAGAATATATGCCTTGCATATGAATAAAAACTGCAAATAATATCGTAAGCGTATTGACACAGTATATATGAATGTAAATCAATTAATATTTTAAAAAAATATATTCTTATTAAATATTAGTTTCATGTTTATCACTATCACAAGGATATATTACCAACATGTAAAAGCATTGAATTCAAACCCGTTTTATCCAATGAATCATTGAGAATCGCTCTTAACAATCCGAATGTGTTTCCAAAACTCAAACCTATAACTGATAGCACCTCTTTTAAACACTTATACATGAAAAGAAAGAGAAATATTTTTAAAGCACTAGCAGAAATAAAATTACTTAACAAAACTAAACTTTAATTATTCCAAAAAGAAAAAAAATATAAAGAGAGGAAATATTTATTTAAACTTCAATTTTTATAATGAAATAAGAAATAAACATATAACTTTTAATTATTGTAATAGTCTTAAAAAATTGTTTTAAATGTGATAATGTGTTTTAAAATAAGATAAGGTTATTTTAATATTAAAAATTTTAAGTATAAATAGAATTTTTATAAAAATTTCATTATATAAAATCATGTCATCTTTTTAAACTTTTGTTCTCTAGAGTTTTTAATTTTTTTTTCTAAAGATTTTAACATCTTGTATATCTATTTGAATATTAAAAATTGTCTGAATAATATTTAAGGTGAGATTTTCAACTTTATTCAATCAGTTTTTAATAAAAGACTGTTAGTTTCTACTTTTTTCTTTTGTATGTAAGTTTTTACGTGTATGTGAGTTATTCTAACTTGTATACGAGGCTTGAATGTTCAATAAAACTCTTTACTGATTACTAGTTCTAACTATATGTCATTATCATGTTTTTGTAAGAGTAGATAAAGTCTCATGTAATTGTGAAGTTGTTTTAAGATTAGTAGAGTTATTTGGTCATTTGTCAAGTAAGAAAAAATAGATCTTTTAGTGTGAGTGAATTGGATAATTGTTGGTTGAAATTAGTATAAATATTGTGAGTGTTATTTGTGTTGAATTGTATGTTATGTTTGATTGATTAAACTAAATGAGTTTGTGTTTGGATTGTGGTGATCGAGGAAAATGAGGATCTTATCATTTGAGCATGTTGATATTACTCTGAGATTAAAAACTGTTTTTGAACTAATCATTAAATTAAAAATACCAATTTATCATCTGAACGTCTTTCTGGTTTCCCAAATTTGAAGTGGTTGTTTTTTTATACGGTGCTAAGTGAGATTGGTGTGGTGTGGTGTTGAGTGTTACTTGATTGTGCAAATTTGGAAACAATTTTACTCTACACGGTTGAGCAACAATTTTTTCTAATGATCTGGCTTTAAGCAATGGAAGGATACCACTAACTGTCACTTTTCAGAGAAGGTTTAGAATCATCTTAATTTTAAGTCGATGAGTGACAGAATGATGTCGTTAAACGAGCCAGTTTGCAAAAAGAATTATGTTGAGTGTTATATTTGTGCGGAATTTCGCGCTGAATATCAGTTTATATGATTGCTTTGGTTTTTTTCCTTGATTGTTTTGTATTAATCGTATCATTCTTAATTTTGATAGGAGTATATTGGCTGTATCTGAATCTTTGATATGTTTATTCCGAAAATTGTATCCTGAAAATTTTATTCCAGAGAAATTTCTTTCCGATTGCTTCAGAAATTCCAGAAATCTTGTTTTGGAAAATTGTTATTTTGAAAATTTGAGGATGCGCGAAGAAATTGTCGGGTGAAGAAAGTAAAAGTATGAGGCCTACTACGAAACAACTATGCAGTCTCGGCCCAGCGTTTTCAGTGACTACACAGCAGCTCCCCGTTTCTCCAAACGATGTCGTTTAGCAAACGAGTGACCGGAGCGAGAAAGATTGAGACGGAGTGAAACCGCAATGTTGCGACAGTTGGTAATGCACGCGCCGCGTTTCTTCAACTACACGTCGAGGAGGTTAGCTCACGGTGGCTGCGGCCAAATATTAATCACACGAGCATATTCCTCCGCGGCCATGTCGCCGCCTTCGAAGGCGATCGTGTACGATGTGCACGGGCCACCGGACACGGTGACCAAGTTGGTGGAGGTTCCGGCCGTTGAAGTGAAAGAAAAAGAGGTGTGTGTGAAGATGCTAGCTGCTCCTATCAACCCCTCCGATATCAATAGAATACAGGGCGTTTATCCGGTGCGGCCAAACCCACCGGCAGTGGGTGGACACGAAGGCGTTGGAGAAGTTCTCTCAGTGGGCTCATCTGTCACCTCACTTTCTCCCGGAGACTGGGTTATTCCCTCTCCACCCTCTTTCGGTACCTCTGTTTCATTTCTTTCCCTTTAATTTTTCACCTTAATATGATCAAAAGAACGAGCTTTTCCATAAATCGTTTAAGAAAAACAGACAGAAAAATAAAAATGAAATGGGAAATTAGCTTGTCAAAGTAATTTTCTAGTGAAAGCAATTATGGCCTCTTGGCTAGCATTTAAGACTGCGTTAAGTTCAAATCTCAAAATTTGAAATGGCATAGAGCTTATGTTAGTATAGTTGAGCCTATTAGACTATCCTATGTATCGGACCATTGTCATACTATCTTAATGGTCTAATCCTGCAAGCTTCTAGCTCAAGTCTTTTGGTCTTTCACGTTGTGGAATATGTTGAACATCAACACTGACTAGTAGTGATATGAGCAAAATAACATCTCTGAGTTGGGCAACTCGTGCCTCTTAATTTTTCCAAGTCCAAGTTCTAAGATCCAAATCAAAATTCTTAGAACTTTGCGGTTTTCATTGTTATTTGGAATTCTTATTTATTTATTTTTGGCATGCACAGGGACTTGGCAGACGTATATTGTGAAGAATGAGAATGTTTGGCACAAGGTACAAAAGGGTGTGCCTATGGAATATGCAGCTACAATTACTATTAATCCCTTGACTGCACTTCTCATGCTTGAACACTGTGTTGCTTTGAACTCTGGTACATTTTCCTTTCTTGCTGAATTTCCTATATTTTTTTATTTGTGGTTAATTAGTGGATTGGAATTTTATTTTTTCTGGATATCAACAGGAGATGCTATTGTGCAAAATGGGGCTACCAGCATGGTTGGCCAGTGTGTCATTCAGCTTGCCAAGTCTCGTGGCATTCACAGCATTAATATTATAAGGGACAGGTGCTCATTGGAAGGTTCTTTGCTAGCTTTGTTATTAACTTAGCTTTTGAGTATTATTTCAAACTATGGTTTGTTTATTATCAGTTTTTTTTTCTTTTCCATTTTTAAAATATAATTTGATTAACATGTCCTTATTTTTGCTTCTGGCATATTAGTAAAGAATCTTAACTTTGCATCACAAATCCTTTTGCTGCAGGCCTGGGGTCAATGAAGTAAAAGAAATGCTTAAGAATTTGGGTGCTGATGAAGTTTTCACTGAGAGCGAATTGGAAGTGAAGAATGTCAAGAGTCTCCTGGTACACCTAGGCGTATTGTGTTTGTTGCTATGATATGCGTGTCAATTTTTCAGATCAATGATAGTCATAGATTAAGCATTTGGGAAGGGTGGTTGGATGTACTCTAACTTCCTTATTTGAGGTTTTGCACTTATATTTATGTGATGCAGAGGAAGCTGACAACAAATTTGTTTGGAAGCATTATTTATCTATATTGAATTCAGATTACTTATTTTGGATCAAATTGTCATGGCAGGGCGGTATACCTGAACCTGCACTGGGATTTAACTGTGTTGGTGGAAATGCTGCTTCTTTGGTACTCAAGTTTTTGAGGTATGACATGAGATATTGGGTGAAAATTTTCAGAATTAAATATTTCTCGTTTGTTATGATGATTAGTTCATACTTTCCAGACAAGGAGGAACCATGGTCACATATGGTGGAATGTCTAAAAAACCTGTCACTGTGTCAACATCATCCTTCATATTTAAGGTCAGCCATTAATTCTCCTTCTTGTAGTTGGTTACTTCAGTTTATTATGTAGGAGATAGACTTAACGTTGAAGGGGACCAACGAATGTTTTTTTTTTCTAATGGGAGGCCATAAAACATTTTTTTATGTGAGACTTAAAGGGATTTAAAATATTTGGCAACTGATTGAAACTAAATAAAGAATAAGGATAATATATATAATATTATCGAGTTGAATCATGTTAAAATTTCAATTGTATGTTGTAATTGTCTGACACAGCCAACATCTTGTAATATACCTGAGAGGGCTCTAATCAGCACTTAGAACATGGAAGTGAATCTGATTAAGAGGGTTTCAACATTCAACTTAAGAAGTCAAGATAACTACAGCGCCCTGAAATATTGATGATATTGTCTGAATGTGCTGAGCCCTTTATCATGAGTTTCTTGAAAGGTTACCTGATGTCAACCTTTTGCCATGGAGGTTTAAGCTTAATGATTAATTGTTAGTTCATTGAACCTTCTAATAGGTCCATTTTTTTAGTTTATATAAACCTTGTCTTTCACAAACAAGATCAAACCTAGCAGTAAAGAGTCAAAAATGAATTTTAGGTGTGTGCTACGCATGCAATTCTGTCTAGAAGTTTAATGTAATTGAAGTTCTGGTAACAACTTTAAGACAACATCATAGAGTCGTTGTTCTTTTGTGCTGCGAATATGTATCGGGTTGTATCTCTTGCTAAAAAATTAATTAAATAGAGATATGAAGATACCCAGACATTTCAATGATTGGATGAATTAATTTTTAATATAGCCAACGAATCTTCACGTGCCTGTTTGGATGACTAACTCGCCATGTTTTTTATTTTTTATAGTAGAATAAAAATTTGAGGAGTTTAGAGATGCCTGTACCCTTGGTTTTGAAATGCCATCTCTATATCGTAATATTTGATTATTCAAATTAGAAAATGAGTGGGAAAATAGCAAGAAAAACTACTCATGTTGGACCGAGAACAGAGGGAATTGAGATTCCTTAATTTCATAACTTAGTTTTGGTCTAACCTTTCAAACGCCTATATTCTTAGTAGAGTAGTATATTGATCTTTTAAGAACCACATTGGCAGGATGTTTCCTTGAGGGGATTCTGGTTACAGAAGTGGTTGAGCACAGATAAAGCTGAAGAGAGCAGAGGAATGATAGACAGACTTTTGAGTCTTGTACAGGAAGGAAAGTTAAAATACAAGTATGTTCTCTTCTCTACGTTTCAGGGGGGGTTTCGTTTGGGTTATATTCATTCCGTAAGGTCAAATTGTTTTTAAAAAGTTATCGCATTGCTGTCTCATTATTTGGCATACCAAATTCATATGATGCTCACTCTTTTTGCAGAATGGAATTGGCTCCCTTTGACGATTTCAGCACAGCATTGGATAAAGCTTTAGGGAAACTTGGGAGCCAACCTAAGCAAGTTATCAAATTCTAAATGTGTGGATGTTTATACTGATTTCTGTTGGATAAAAAAAGTATTCTGGAATTTCAGAGAAAAAACAATATATCAAGGAGTTATTCTTCAAAGGCATGCAGAATAGATTTTTAGTGCAAGGAATAAAAAATAGACTTATATTGTGGTGCATTGTTATGTGAAGATTTTTACATTCTCAATCAACCAGGTATCATACAAACGTGACTTTTAATTGGGTGTGATGGTATAAACGTATTTTACATTTTTTATTATGCTTTCCCATTAAATTCTAAGAATTTCCAAAAGAGTAGAACCGCATATTATGATGAAATAAATCAGAGAAACTTAATTTAATCACAATATTTAAGACAACATACACCTAATCCGTTTCAAATAAACATACCCTAGCAATTTAAAGGTAAGATGCTTGCAGTTACTACCGAAAACTCGAGTATTTTGTGCCTGTTAGTTTTGCATTAAAATATAAATTATGGAAGAAATTAATTTTCTTTATAAAGAAAACAAATCTTAAGTCGCAAATTTGATTATATGATTACGGAGAGTAATCTCGGCATAAATTTTTTGTTAAAAAATTGGATCGCACGGTCTCATTTTTAAGATTTTTCGCAACCGATGTCACCATTTCAAGTATTTAGTTACCATCTACTTTGTCACTGCCTCGTGTTCTTTAACGTTTAACCTGCTTTAAAACTATAAACTTAATTGTTTTAATCTGTAATAACTTCTTTTTATCCAGAATCAATTTTTAGTAATTTTGTACGCTCCCAACCAAAGCTAATAGTGAAATCCACTTCACTCTTGACAGAAGTTATCAGCTCAAGAAAGTGTAGCTAATAATGCAAACAAACCTGAGCGGATGAAAAAAATAATAATTTGATCAAGTATATAATGATGAATAGCAGGATTAGGCCATAAATTGTTGCATTATGTAGAGATCACAAAATCACCTATTACTTTCAAATATCTTTTCAGAACCCTTTCTGTAAAGAATAAACGCCTTGGCCATATAAAGCGGACAGGGCTATGAAGCGCATTCCTTTGCCAGTATGTAGTCCACAGCATCTTCGACAGTGTCAACCACCTGCGAAAGCGAAGTTGTATTATAATCACCACTAGGTACTTTCCTTCACAATGACAACGTTAGTCACAAATTAAATCGTCCGTTCATCACCACGACTACCCACAAATTTCAAACTTTGGTTTGGACAATCAATCCTAGCTGCATTACAATCGTGAGCACATTCCTTTAGAAACATGTTCTCCATGGGTACGCCAGTAATTTATTTTTTCTTTTTATCGACAAGTGTTAGATTTTTTTAGTGGGGAGAGTTCCACAGCCTCATCCACCTCCCTTCCAAACCCTTCAAACTAACCTTATATCTCCCATATATATTATTAGTAAGTGGTTGAACCCACAACCTCTCACCCTCTTCTCCAATTTTTACCACTCTGTCAACCTTATAGCTCCATACCAGTAATTCATAACCATCAACCCTGTCCTTTTTCCAAAATCTGAAAAAAAACCTAAAGACCCAAAACAAATAAGAATGTTGTTTATCCCCGTTCTTTATTGTATGTATATATTACTCAATTCATAGAAAATCTGCTTTAGTTCTGGATCAGGCTATCACAAGTTCCTGTTCTGGGCACTACAAGCGCAAGTAAAAAAATGCCTTTACCTATCTTACATTACATCCCCAAATATTCATGACCACAGTAGTACCAAGAAACTTAAAAGTGCAAGAGGAAAAAGGTTGACGTATGTGTGAGACTTTTCAAGAGAAGAACACAGGGAATTACCAGATCTGCTGAAAATTTGTCATGATTTTCCTTCCCCTTGAAAACTCCAGTTCTGGTGAGAATAGAAAACCAAGGATGCCCAGTCTGAAAAGCCACATTTTCATTAATGGTATTATTTATCAACAAACAACTTTTAACTATCCCACAAGTGAAATCCAACTCCATGAGGAGGCGCATACCTGTCGTGCACCTCTGATATCAACTGCAGGATTATCTCCAATCATGTACAGTGTTTTAAAAGATGAAGTCTTATCATGATTTTTATCATAGAAATCATCATAAAGTGATGCCACAAGTTTCTGTAACACAATTTCTGCATTCTTGAATACTGATGGATGTGGTTTGCCAAAACAGGTATACTCCAAGCAATGAGGGTGAATCCTGCACACGGAACAATTAATGGGTATAGATATTCTTAAGAACCAAAATATAAATTTAATCAGAGCAGCAATGCCACTAAACTAATTTAGTTTTTTTTTTTTTTCATTTTCCATGGATTCCTCTCAGACTAATGTGACAATAGCTTCTTGTGTTTGAATGAGTGTACATATGTATTCAACTTAAAGGAACAAAAATAGAGAAGACCTATTAACAGTTAGATAATACGCAATCTCACCTATTGAAGATGGATTCTAATGCAATCCTGAATGCTCCCATGCCCAGACGTTCAGAAGGAAATTTAGTCTACCTTTTGTGGGACCTTGTCAGTAAGTATGGTAGTATAGAATTTTCAAAGGGCTCCATGTAACCTGCCTTTCTGAAAAAATCAACAGAATAAATCAACCAACCTGGTATTCAAGGTCATCATTTGCAAAATATATATGTGGTTGTGGTCCAACATTTCTTCCAGGAAGGCCTCCTGTTTTTAAGATGTCACAGAGAACCTGAATGAAAAACCTTGGTCATTCACCGATCCATCAAATCCAAGCAAATAAAAAACAAATCTAATAATGTCTTAAAACCCAAAGTAGAGATTTTGACTATATTTGCTCTCACTTATCAGAAACACAAAGATAAGTCAAAAATAATTCAAATATGATTACAGCAGCTGGGAAGTCTCGAGTGTCAAACTAAGTTATATACTTCTCTTAATTGTGTATCCTTGTAAAATGCAAGTATATATTTACTTATCCGGTGTCTCTTATTTTTCTTTGCTTCTTTTTATTTCATTTCATTTCTTTTGATCTAGCTGTGAAGTGAAGACAAATCCCAAGGCCCATGAACAATAACCACTCTCAAATACTTTACCAAGAAATGACTATGAGCACATGTCAATATATCTAGTCTAGTGTATTAAAATCTAAATGTAGTTTAACACTCATTTTTCTCTATTGAACATCCACTAAATTTAATGGCTTTGATCACTGAACCACTACGTGGGTAACAAAAATCATGAGCAATTTAGTTTCCCATTAAGGAAGAGACCCAATCCACTTATTACTAATTACTAATTGTGTTGTGATGTTTAACTTCATACACAAGTCTTTCTTCAGTATAAAGAAAAAAAAATAGCAGTGGCAAAATTTTCCATTAACTTTTCAATGCTTACAGTATAAACTGTTCCATTACGTTATTGCTCTTTTCCCAACAGCAAGATTCATGTAAACAAGCCACATAATTTTGTAACTTTCATACAACACTATATATGTAGCAAAGATAAAATAAAGACAGTTCATATGGATCACTAATAAAATCTCTGTAACCTGTATATCCCTGCTCCAATCAACAGGGTCACTAACTATAAATGCTGCTTGAACCCTTTTAGAGAGGATATCATTCCTTGGAAAACTCTCATTAAACTTTGAATTCTGCATAGTAGCCAGATTGGAAGTCCATTTCTTGTATGGAGCCAGCGGATCAATGTTTTCAAAGCAAGAGGTATATTCATCAATTGAAAGAGCATGCCTGAATACAAAGACGAACAACATAATGATAAGACACTGAGGGTTATGTCAGATCATTATCAAACAAGCCAGTTATCCTAAACCTTACCTAAAACCATATTCCGTCATCACAGCTGCAGGTTCCCCTTTCCCCACAGCCACAACGAGATCATTCTCAAATCTGTAAGTGGGGTGAAAATTCTATGAGACAAGGACACCTAGGTGCTGTCAACCTTATTGGTTTCAGAGTGTACTTGCGCAAAAGACAGTTCAGCATGTAATACTCATATGAAACCTGAACAGAGGATGAATAGTCATACCTCTTGACCAGTTGTTTAAATGGTGAATGGCCTTGTAAAACCTGTACAACAATCAGATTTGGTTTAGGGAAAAACATTTTTTATTTCAACAGAATTTAGGGCAACGCAAAGGCGACCACTTCTGACTTTTCAGTGACACTTGCATACAGCAAACAAACCAGGAAATAAGACCACACACGTATACATCACTATATAGGGAAGAGAAAGAACGGTCAGGGACTGTAGATTACTTCACATTTCCAAAAAAATCAACAATTCTAAATCCTCATAACCAATCCTCCTAATTACTAAATCCAGAATTTCTTATGTTCATAAAACATCTACTTTTACATTATGCTTTTAGAGGATACAACAAGACTATTCAAATATACCTGCGAAGGTGAGACATTCACACCCAACAGTTGACTTAGTTCAAAAGCTCTTTTAGCTTCAGGAAAGCCACCACCTACACGAAAACATATAATTAACATCAACACAAGCGGCGCGTCATTTTAAACAATTTATCAGCTGGGACCGGTCATCAATTGAACCAAACGAATGCAATCAGGAAAAATCAAATATCCGTTAAAACCAAACGACACAGATAAGCAAGTAAATTGAATAAAACAAAATTAGAAAAAGAACTCACCATTGGTGAGGAAAACGTACGGGATTTTCAATCCACCTAACGACATAAACGGATCAAAAAACTCATTAGTCGGTACCAGTGAATGAGAAATGACGAAAACGGAAACAGAGAATTTTTTTTGGTTTTTACCATCAGCGCCGTATAATTTTCTCAGCGCTCCAGGAGAACCACCGACAGGAGAGTTTCCGAGCAAAATGACACCGTCGATGTCGAACGCGATGCCGAATGAAGGCCTGCTAGGTCTGAATCAATTAACATAATCGGAACCGTGAAAATTAGGAGCGTAATTATGCAATGCGAAAAGAGAATGAACAATGTGAGATTTCACGATTGACGAACCGTTGGGATCCGTGAGAGAATGCGCGTGAGAGTAGATACGAAAACACTGTTCGGTTTCTGGCTTTGGTTAAGAGATGGAAGCTCATTGTTGCAGGATTTCCCTTCTACAACTTCTGAATCAGCAGAGTAAGAGAACAATAGTTAGTTGTTGCTAACTTTCCCATGCTTTCTGACTTCAACATCAAAAGCTTTGGCTAGTTACTTCCTTTGTGTGGCCTAATACGTCGAACGGGCTCGCTTTGGGTCAGTTTAGATTGATGGGCTTAGCCCATAAAGTGATTAGCCCATACACCTATAAAATATCTTAAATTTTTATTCGTTAAACCTTTTTTTTTTCATCATATCAACTCATTTTGAAGATAGTCTGTCTATACATAAGGAAGGCTTCGAACTTCAAAAACTGTTTAAGAGATTTGAATATCAAACGATATTTATAAATATTTTCTAACACAATATTATAAACGTATAATGATTAGAGTTAAAGAACAACGAGTATGAAAATAATTTAAACAACTAATTTATATTTATGTTGTTGTTTTATAGGTATTTGACCAAACCTTTTAGGTTGATTCAATAGGTATAGATGTTAAAAATACTTTTATATAGTTTGCTAACTCTGGTTGTATATTTAATATAACTTTTTTTAATGTATCGATATTAAAATCTCTAATTAAATTTCTCATTTTGCCCTTTTCTATCACGTTTGTTATTTAGGATCACGTGTGCAAATTGACATTAAGGAGCAAACTTAAACTAATTTAAGAATTAAAGAAATTAATTAAAATTATTAATAATAAAGAATCCAAACAGTATAAATTACATAAATAATATAATTTAGCAATGGTAATTATGTAAAACTTATAAGTCTTAAAGTTTTCTTTAGTAAATATTTGTGGGTGATTAGATAGATTTAACATATTTTCACTGTAAGCTAAATTACAACAATATATATCAAAAAATAAATTTAAATTTAACTAAATCATATTAAAATTATAAAATAATATGTCTTTTAATTCTTAAATTTTGATACAAAATTAAAATTTGTTTTTATACGATATTTCATAAGTTATGTAAATTATTTAACACATTTCAATTCAAAGATTAATTTAGAAAATGGTTTAACAAGTTTGAAAAATAAAATAAATCAATTTGAATCAAACAAAATCTTAATTTTACAGTACACTAATATTTAACTCTTAAATAATTAAAGTATGATGTGATAGGGATATGATTTATAATTAGTAGTAAAAGAAGGCTTGCTCACGTACAGAGATGCAAAAGTCAAGCACACAACACAGGTCTTACCTCACTAACTGAATAATGATATCAGTCAGTGATGACTATTCTGAGTAAAACAGCAATGAATCTAGAAGAGGCATGCATATTTAATCATTTTATTTCCAAGTTATTTTGCACGTGAAGTAATCATCGCATTCGTTCTTTTTGAGAAAAATCTGCATAGTTTAAGAAACAAAAGTTTAAATATCCACAATTCAAAGAACTTTAAAGTAGGAGGAATTTGGATAGCTTATCATTGACAACATATGCATGTCGGCGTCTGACAATGGAAGGTTTTTTCCATAAACCAGCAACTTCTCCGTCATTACAATGGTGAAATTTCTGCTATACGCCCCACTTATAATGATAGAAAATTTATGTTTTAGAAATTTGAAAGCTTATTCTACCTATGACTTAACATGATCCAAAGATAAATTAAAAAAAAACGTGGCAAATAATGGGGCTGCTGAACTAGTTAAAAGTGTTATAGTTATCAATTTGAACATATATATTGATATATAAGTTTATTTCAGTAACGCTTACCGACAGGAATTCTTATAAGTCGTTGTTGATATTTGAATTTGTAGTTAGAAGAAGAGAAACAAATCATTAAACAAAAATTCTTCATGTACGACGGATAATGTTGAAGTAAAGGTATGAAGTTAACGTGCTAAAGCATTTAGTTACGACCATGTCTCGAAAACTAAATGAAGAATATTGACATTAAGATGCTTGCATTGTAATAATGTTTTAGTTTTCATCCTAACTCACCATGACTATAATTTTTTCTTTTCTATTATACTATCTCTTCCTCCTTTTACAATGCTTACAAAATTTTTGCATCAGTGAAAAAGAATTACAAAACAAAACAAAAATAGAAGACGAAAGAATGAATCTTTAGTCATTTTTGAATTTTTTTGAAATTGAAAGTAAAAATATGCTCGTATTCACAATGCGGTAATACATTTCGTGTTGATTATGAGAAAAAAAATAGAATAAAAGTGGAGAAGTGATTACGAAAATGACAGTGTGGTTTACTTTTTGTGATGACAAAGGAAACAGAGTGACTCTTGCATTGAAAAACTGATGTAGTAGGACAAATGAAAAAACTTTAGTAGGAATGTAATTTTAACCTTAACAAATAAATAGACTTCGGTTCTTTAAAAAATCAAAACATATAGTTGTGTAAATATTTTAAAAAAGGAATAACTAATGTCTATAGTTATGTAAATAATTTCAAAAATGTCACTCGTGACATTTTTTAAAATATTTGCACAACTATAGGCTTCAATTCTTTAAAGAACCAAAGCATATATCAGTATAGGTTTTGGTTATTTTAGAAAGACTTCGTGTTTATTAAATCGAAGCTTATTAAGTGATTTCAAAAATCTTTTTTACACTAGTGTGATGGTGGAGTGATTTTAGAGTAAAATTTATGTAAATTTATGAGAAATTTGACTTATGTGATAGATTAAAAATAATGGGTTAAATATGTTTTTAGTCCCTAAACTATTGGCCATTTCTGGTTTTCGTCCCTCTTTCAAAATAAGGTACAATTTGGTCCTTATTATTTTCGAAAATTTGGTTTTTAGTCCTCGAAAACTAACACCGTTAAAAATGTGGTAGTTTTCGAGCTTAGTTTTCGAGGACTAAAACCAAAGATTCGAAAAGAATGATGACCAAATTGTACCTTATTTTGAAAGAGGGACGAAAACCAGAAACGACCAATAGTTTAAGGACTAAAAACATATTTAACCCAAAAATAATTAATAAAATAAAAAATAAGATTATCAAATTACCCTTAATATTGAAATAAATATAAAATTATATTTAAGGGGTTTTTAAGAATAAAAATTTTACAAAAAAAAAAGTATTAATTGAAAAAAATAAAGAATAAAATATATTTGGTTATACATGTCTAACGCTTCTTACAACACAACACATTTTTTAGAACAAACCAAAGCTTTATAATCGGTTTCGAGCACACGAGAACAGATTTCAACACCCTGAAATTGGTTCCAAACAAAATAGAACATTTTTGGAATCGATTCTAATTTTTTCAGATCGGGTTCCAAGTTTTTCATAATCAATTCCAAGTTTTCCAGATTCATTTGCAAATTGTCCAGATTCAGTTTCAAGTTTTCCAATTCGTTTCAAGTTTTCACATATTCGGTCCCAAGTCATCACAAATCATACATTAACCTTTGCTATGGATTCTTGAAACCGAGCTTCCCAAGTTGAAATCAATTCCCAAGCTTTCTTGTTGAGTTTGACTACACTTTTTAACAATTATTACCACAAACCATAAACACACATTTACCACACTCATTTTGAATTAAGGAATCTTTCTTGTATTCTTTAGGATTCTCACATGTGCATATGAAAATACCTTGGTGGTGCGTGTGAAAATAAAGCAACGTGAAAATAACAATGGACACGCGAAAAAGCAAGAATATTTACATAAAAACGATAAAATTATTTGAAAATCTCATTGTTGTAGCAAGATGCAAAATTCTTATGTATCTTGCAAATCTTCGTTTTCCATCGCTTTCTCGTTTCTGAAAAAGAACACAAAAACTAACAAATTCAAATTATCGTTTATTTTTGGATTAATAATTAATTATTTTGGTCCCTATATTCATAAGTTTTGTTCAAAGTCGTCCTCAAGTTTTTTCGGTGTTCAAAGCGGACCTTTTTTTTGTAAAATTTGTTCATTTTAGTCCTTTTCGCTTATGGCATTTAAATCGCTGACTGTGTAATGTTCATCTAAGCCAATATTGATTGAGCTGTCACTTTTGGATATACGTTGCAAGTTAAGAGGAAATGACGTGACAATGGTTAGTTAAATTGTTTCTGTAAAATAAAATTAACATCGGTTTCGAAGGGGTTGTGCAATTAGGGTTCAATTTGGGCTCAAGAAATTGGTGAAATTGTTGTTCAATTTGGGTTCGTTGTTCGTTCAAATTGCAATTTGAGGAGTGTAGGTCAGGTAAATGTTCTTAACATGATGTTGTGTTTTCTGTGCAAGTGCGTGGAGATGAAGGTTCGATGATGCCCAAATCGAACTCGCGATTTGGGGGTTTTGTCGCAGTAGTTTCGTGATGCAAAGGGATTCTGATTCTGTGATTTGGATGTTTTTGTAGGTTTCATGGAGGTGTTGTGCTTCGCGGTGAGATTAAGGGTTTAAGTGGTTCAAATTCATAGATCTGTGACAGAGTTTTTCTGTGGCGGCGCAAAGATGGTTGGTGGAGGAAGATGGAGTCTTACAAATTTGGGTTTTTTGGGTTTGCAATTGGGGTTTTTGCGATGGTGAAGATCACAATTAGGTTTTCTCATTTTGCGATTTGGGTCTCTATTTCTGGTTGTTGCTTGTAGGTTGCATCCATGACAGTGCGGAGGTTTCACGATTTAGGTCTCTAGTTCTGGTTGCTGCTTGTAGTTTGCATCTATGACAGCGTGAAGGTCTCGTGGTGGAGAATGATGATTAAACAACAATTTTAGATAAACAACTTTAACTTACCATTACCACGTCATTTTCACTTAAATTGCCACATATATTTAAAATTGACTGCTTATTCAATATTAACTTAGGTAAATATTATGCGGATTTAGACGTAGTCAGCAAAAAGGACTAAAATGAACAAATTTTATAAAAAAGGAAACTACTTTAAACGTCGAAAACTTGAACATCATTTTTAACAAAAAATAATGAATATAAAATCCAAAATATGAATTAAGCTTTTATTTTTCAACCGTAGTAGCTTAAGAAAACATTGTCTTAGTTAGTATTTCTATTTAAAACGTAAACTAACCGTCTTAAAACTAACAAATTCTATTTTGTGGAAAAATAATATTTTGACAAAGTTTATATATATAAGTAATTGACAACTTGTTTATAATAATATAATAACAATAAAATT